GCCATGCCAGGCACCGTCCTGTAATGGGCAGAATATGCCACCCCTGCTTTCCACCACTCTGCTCCCCACCTGTACACTACTCCCCTTGGCTCTCCTGAAGTCTGGGGTGTGGATCTGAGTCCACAAGCATGTTTGGGTTTCACTCTACCCTTGGAGGGAGCAGTTCCCTCTGGGACCCCCCAGCAGATTGAGGACCAAGGAGCTTATGGCCTCTCTGGGACAGAACATTCCTAAGAGGTACAGTAAGGAGTCATAAGGTCTCAATTAGAGGCAGGCAGAGCAGAGGTCACCCTACCCTCCACCCTCCAAAAAAACTCAGGTCCTTTTCATTTGCTGCTTACCATTTGTGCCAAGGAACAAGGTCCTATCTTGGAGTTTGGAAGTTGCCTTTTGGGTTGGATGTGGGATTGCAGGGTTTTTTTTGTTTTTTGTTTTTTGTTTTTTTTTTTGGAACAGGGTTTTCCTGTGTAACTGTCCTGAAACTCAATTTGTAGATCAGGGTGGCCTCAAACTCACTGAAATCCACCTGCCTCTGCCTCCCAAGTGCTAGGATTAAAGGTGTGTGCCACCACCACCACCCGGCAAGATTGCTGATCTTGATGTCTTGTTTTATTTCCTACCCAGGGAGACCAGAGTTCTTCCTTTCTGGCTTACAGGTGGTAGCTTGGGCCCCAAGCTCACTTGGAGACTCCATGTGGAGAGCATGGGTCCAAGATGGCCTTGCTGAAATTCTTGCGTGGTAAGGGCTTGGTGGCACCCAGAGGGTCTGTCAGCAGGGCACCGTTAATAGTGAAGACCCTAAGGCAGCCTCCTCAGAGGGATACTAGCTGCCATCCCCTGGTGCCTTGTGGGGCTAGTTAAGTAGCAGGGCACTAACACTTGGGGTTCCCAGAGCTGCCACATAGAAGGCTGTAGACACAGGACAGATGCTGTCAGATGGTATTCCAGAGGGGCCTCATGAGATGCCAAGAGAGATTAGTGGGGACCATGGCAGCCCTGTGTGCAAAAAAATGGAATAGGAGGGGTTCGGGGATTCTACAGAATTTCACCACAGCCATAGAGAAGTTTGGGCTCTGGACTGGGGTGAGCCTAAAATTTTCTCTGCTGGGGGCTACTTATTTGGTTTATTGTAAAGAACTTTACAAAAGTTAAGCTAGCTCAAATGGTCCTTGAGTATAAGAACTGATGACCAAGTAGCTCTGATAGGGTGATGATGCCAGAACCTCCTGGGACCTTGGGTGTCCTGGTAGATAGGGCAAGGTAATAAGGGCCAGTGCTTGGTCAGGGGAGCCCAGTCATCTCCAGGACCCCCGTGTTCCTGTCTGCAGACAGCAGTGATAAGTAACAGCTGACTCTAACCCCACAAGGTCCTCTTTTCGTATCCACTGACTAACTCACTGGTCCTTGTGGTTCTGAGCCCTATGTAGGGCAGACCCTGCAATGGTCGCTCCTCTCAGCACCTCAGCAGCAGAATTAAGAAGGAAAACAGCCTCTACCTTTCGGAATCGGGTTTGTCCTGTCATCTCCTATACCAAACTTGCTTGTGGTGGCTGTAGGAAGGGCAGAGAGAGTCAGGGTTGGGAAAGCCCCAGCTACAAGGTATGGCATGCGGCAAAAGGGCTGAGCTGGGCAGTGTTCTTAGCATTTAGGTGATTTGGGGTAATCTCTGGCCTCACTGGCATTCACTGCAGAAACCTGTGATGGGACCTGGGCTGTGTGCTGACTTGTATCTAAAGCTACTCTGCTCGACCCAGGACCAAAAACCAGCACACACCACACTTGGAGCTACAGGTTGAGTTGTAGCCTCTCTTCCTACCCAGCCCTAGCAGGTAGACCCTTCACCTCCAGGGAATTGGGAACACCACTGGTTCCATGTCATGTGTGTGACATAGCACAGAGGCTTATAGACTACAGAAGTTCATAGCTCACTATTGAGACTGGATATCCAAGATTGAGACACTGAAAACTCTGGTAGATGAGGTGAGGTAGCCTGCTTTGTGCTTAAAAGCACCATAGTCAGCCAGTTTGTACCTCAGTGTGGGAGACAGCCTGTCACCAGGAAAGTGCAAAGTTGTGTGGTCAAAGTGGCCCATGGCCTCCTTGCTCACCATGTCTCTGTCCAGTCTCCTATGGGCTTTGCCTCTTACTGTTTTGGGATATTCGTTTTTAACCAGAAAAGAAACAAAGCTGGACGTGGTGGGTCCACACCTTTAATCTCAGTATCCAGAAGGCGAAGGCAAGCAGGTCTATCTCTGAGTTTGAAGTCAACCTGGTATACACAGTGAGTCCTAAGCCAGCCAGGGCTACAAAATATGACCGTGTCTCAAACAAAAAATTAATATGTACATGGGTGCTCTGCCTGCATGGGTGCACAACATGTACCAAAGAGGCCAGAAGATCCCTTGGGATTGGCGTTACAGATAACTGTGAACCACCATGTGGTTGCTGGGAATTGAACCCTGGTCTTCTGGAAGAATAGCCAGTGCTCTTAAACAGTGAGCCATCTCTGCCTAGCTCCAGTGTTCTGGAGTTTTTCTTAACTTTGCCAATCAGAAAGAAGGAAGTGGATCCCATTTAACCATGTTCATGACCAGTGCAGCCCAAGGGTAGAGTACTGTCCTGACCTCTGCTAGAGCCCTTGGGTACAGGTAGGGATGTCAATGGCGCTAATCTGTTGCCTCTTCTGTGGCATGAGCTCCTGAGGTGTAGGTAGGAAGGGCCCCATTTTCATGCCCATGATGTCTTTGTACTGTTCCAGTCTTTCTTACATTCGTGTTAGAGGTCTGTTTGGGGTTATTTTGACATAAAAAACAGTAAGGTCTATCTATCTGCTCTCCCAAGTGAGCGGTGCCTCCCATAGACATGCTTGGATACACCCTAGGTCTGCTCAAGCTTCAACACCACATCTTTTTGTTGATTTGGGGATTGTAGTTTATGTTCAATAAAATGCACCTAAACAAACCGACTTGATGCATTCTGACAGCACCCACCAAGTCACAGCACCCTCTGGCTGCCTTTCACTTTCTTGAATGTGCAGGTGGCATCTTGCTCTTTGGGCAGTTGAGGTTCATCATATTGCCTGTGTCCACAGCTCTTCCCGGTTGTGCCAAGGTAGGCAGACTGGACACTATGACCATCCCTTGGCCTGTGATAGACCCTGGGGTGTCCCCACCCTAGGTCCTGGGCTGGGCCACTTAGAGGCTCTGTGGACATTGTCCTGTTGGATTGAGCTGGGGAAGTTGTATTATAGTTAGAGCTACACTGTGTTGTGTTAAGTGTCCTCCATGTACGGCCTCCTCCCTCTCCCTGCAGAAGCTATGCCATCGGTGGTAACTGAATTCCTTCTTGGTAAAATCATAAAATAGGGGAGTTTGAGCCAGGTCCACGGCCCCAGATCCACCAAACTCCACCAATCCCCAGGGGACACATGTCCTCCAGACCTTCCTAAGGCCTTCCTCACACACACACACACACACACACACACACACACACACACACACATTGTGTATTTCAGTATATGTAAACATGTGCACTAATGTGTCTACCCATATACTTGCTTACACATGACCTGACATCTGGGTGTGTGCACATACCTGTACTGTGCCCATTCATATAAAACACACGTACAGTGCACATATACTGGCAGCTTGTGTAAGCATGTCTGTGGCCGATGCATGACATCTCACAATTGCTTCCTTTTTGAAGCAGTGTGTGAGGTCTGTTCAGTAGGGTACTAGGTGGGTACAGTCGTTGGCACAAACCCAGTGCAGCATGAGGCATTTGCATGCAGCTACAGAGCAGGGAGAGGCAGAGACAATCTTGGGGCTTCAGGTGAAAACTAGAAAACCAAGGCCAGATTTTCGTTGATTAAAGGTTCTGTGCTTGGTTGTGGAGGAAAGCACCACTCCCAAGAGGTTCTCCCATTCACCCCATTCACCCCATGTGTGTGACACAGCACAGAGGCTTATAGATAGGTTTCTGCTATCTGGCTGAGACTAGCAGTCTAAAGCCAGGAGGGCCCACTCACAGTGCCCTGTCGGGGTGGAATGTCAGGGAGTCCTCCAGGCCCTCTGTCATCGGGAAACACTGATCCCATTCACCACAGCTTCACACATTTCTTCACTGCCCACGGATCAGCTTGCCTGTGCCACCACATTAAGAGTTTCTGTGTGAGTTTTCTTTTGAGGACATGTTCAGGAAGTGATCTAAGAGGACAGAAAGTCACTTTAATGGTCACTTTTTCAAACTGCAAAGTCCTTCTGAGTATGGGCCCTACATTCATCTTCATGTCCACATTCCCATTCTAACTACTTGCCCAGCTGTGAGTGCCTGCTCAGTTCAACATATGCAGCTGTGTTTCCCTAGGAGAAATGAAAAAGAGAGAACAGTAGATCCCCTCAGAGTGGTCACACGCTTGGACTACACGAGCCCTGACTTGGCCAGTCCCAGACATTGAGAATGGTGTTGTACCACAGCATGTGAATGGGCATGTCTCCCAGCTGGTACCTAGTAGGACCAACTATGACCTACTGCTGAATGTATTCAGCTGCGGCACATTTGTAGATGACATAGTCAAGCCACAATGTCAAAGGGTTGCATACCCATGAATAGGTGTTTCTTTTTCCCTCTCTAACTCTCTTGGCGTTGACACTGTGCCTGATCTGGACAAGAGGGATATGCAGTAAGGACCCTCCTCCATTCTCTGCCTTCAGCCTGTGCCTGAGACCCAGCAGAGCCCTGAGCACAGAGATGGGCTATCTGCCAATCTGGTGGCATTCTCAGCTCATTCCACAACAAGGCTGTCATGCCCCACTTAGAGGAAGTCCATTGCTCTAAGTAGAGAGGAACTGTATGAGCATTGCAAACGTGTGTGCACTGCCAAGTCCAGGACTAAGTGCGTCTTCCTCAGGAGTGTGTAGTACACCAGGGATTGGGTTCTGCTGGGGTGATGGGTCATAGTCACTCTCAGCTCAGCCTGTTAGCCTCTTCTCTCTCCTCAGGCATCTGTGGGCTCTGAGAAGCTCTTTGCCCCGGCACCTGACAAAGGTGAGTGCATCCCCAGCCCAGCTCCTGGGTCTCAGACTATAGAGACTCAAGAGCAGTAGGAGCCTTGGGAGGGCCTGTTTATCTCATTGGGTAGGGATGGGGCTAATAGAAGTAGTCTTAGTGTAAGAGCCAGCCTCCACCGACCACTGCAGGCATCAGGGCATGCATGTGTGGCTGCATGAATGCATGTTAATGCATGCTGCAGCCAAGGGAGTAAGTAGAGGTTGGACAAGTATCACCCCTAGGGCAAGTCCTTGTAGAACCTTAATCTTGTCTATAAAATGGGGTCATAAGAGCTGTGCCTGGTGGCACAGGCCTATCTTCCCAGCAACTTGGGAAGTTGAGGTAGGAAGATTAAAATTTGAGGCCCATTGTGGGCTACAGAGTGAGTTCAAGACCATCCTGGGTGACTTAAAGCAACGCTATTTCAAAATAAAAGTCAAGGAGGGCTAAAGAGATATAGCTCAGTGGTAGAGTACTTTCTTAGACTGTTCAAGACTCATCTCCCAACACCAAAAGCAACGGCTAGTCAGATGGCTCAGTGGTTAGGGTACTGCCAAGCCTGAAGACCTGAATCCACATGATAGGAGAGAAGTGACTCCCACGGGTCACCCTCTGAGCTCCAAGCGTGTACCATGGCGTGTGCACACACGCTCATGCGCACAATGTGAAGAGAAACTAGGGAGCTGGACATAGCAGCACATGCCTTTAGTCCTAGCACTTGGGAGGCAGGTGTAAGGGATATGTTGTGTTGAGGCCAGACCAGTCTACAGAGCAAGCTCCAGGACAACCAGGACTATATAGTGAGACCCTGTTTCAAGACAGAGAGAGAAGGGGCAGGAGAAATGGCTCAGTGGTTAAGAAATTATGCTGTTCTATCAGAGGACTGGAATTCGGGTTCTAACACCCACATCAGACAGCTCACAAATGCCTGAAACTCCAGCTCAAAGGGATCCAGTGCCTCTTCTCTCCCTCAGACACTTGCATATATCCATACAAATACATATAATTTAAAAAATAATTACTTTAAAAGAGAAAAAAGGGGAGGGGGCTGGAGAGATTTAAAGCACTGATTGCTCTTCCAAAGGACCAGGGTTGGATTCTCAACACCCACATGGTGGCTCCCAACCATCTGTAACTCTAGTTCCAGGGGATCTGATGCCCACTTGTGGCCTCCACAGGCAGCCTGTTGGTGCAGAAGTATACACGCAGCCAAACTCACACACATAAAATAAAGATGAGGAAACAAAAAGAAAAACAAACCTCACAGCAACTTTTAAAATGGGGCTATTACAGCCTTCTACCCTGGCGGTACTTTGGGGTCTAGTATTCTGGAGTTATGAAAAGACCTGGGACTGGACACCAGGGAGGAGGCGAGCACACAAGCTGAGCTCACCTGTGTGACTTCGGGTCATGGACACGGCTTATCTCTGTTCATGTTTCCACTGGATATAGAGGTCATCACAGGACCGTTGACACCGTGCCAGGAGCAATGGCAGGGTCTGAACATAACGGTTAGTGGCAGGTGGTACTTGGGCACATAGAACCAGGTCCAACAACACACTTAAACCTTTCTCTGCAGGCTCTGGGAGAGGTGAGAAGTCAGAGGCCAAGGCGGGGACAGTGCCCAAGGTGTCAGGCCTGGAGCGCAGTCGTGAGCTCAGCACCGAGTCTTTCCTGCCTGCCACAGCACCTGCGCCCTCAGGACCTCCGCCAGGAGCTCCAGCCAGCCCCCTGGTGAAGAGGGAAGCCCCTATAGTACCTCACCACCTTCCGCAGCCACAGCTCACCCAGCAGCATCGCGGCTCACTCCCAACACACGTGCCTCTGTCTTTGGGCGCCTTCGTGGGCCCTGGCTCTGGCCAGGTGGCACCCAACAGCCTGCACCTGCACAGCCTCAGGTAGGAAGTGGGTGGTGACACTATGTCCTGGGGTGGGGCTATGGCTTCCTACCCACCTCAGGTCTGAGGGAGGCACTGCTGGCCCTGAGAGGGGGTGTGGCTATTGGGACATCCAGGTTCTGAGAGAATGGATGCCACTGAGCCCTGTGTCCTGCAGCAGGAGCAGCAGCACCGTCAGCGGCACCCCTCTGGGCCTGACGAAACACGTGACACTGTCGCCGCACGGCCCTGGCCCCCACCTGTCTACCTCACACCTGGCGCTCAGGTCCCAGGCGCAGCACCAGCACCACACCGCGGCAATGTTCGCTGCTCCCCCAACACTGCCCCCGCCCCCGGCATTGCCCGCCAGCAGCCTGGTCATCCCAGGACACCCCGCCGGTAGGTATTACACCCAGGGGCGCATGCTTAACTTTGATGGGGCCCTGGGGTAAGATGGAAGAGGTTAAGATCCCAGGAGGTTCGTGGGCTGACCATTCCCAGGGGTTGGTCTTAGAGGACTCACAGGTCACGTGCCTGCCTTTGCTGCTCCGGGCCTCCAGAAGACCCCGCGTGGGGCACACGTCCCTCCCCTTACTTCTGGCTGGAACCGTCACTACTTTTTAATCTCTGAAAGATTTCTGAATGGAGTCAGCCAGCCATCCTGCAGGGACAGGAACACTCTGCCTGGGGGCAGGTATCCCAGCCCTGACCGTGGGTCACCGACTTCTCTCCTTGCCTCTAGATGCCAGCCTGTTGATCTCATTCAACCAGCCAATCATGTATTGCCAGCCTCATTCGGGGATTCTGATTGGTACTTGGTCACAGGCTCCTCTCTTACCTCCACCCCTGGGCCCGCACGTAGCGAGCGGCCACCACGGCTTGGCCTGGCCCCCCCGGGAGTGCCAGGTGACTATCCGCCTCGCCCCACTGGGAGCCCGCGGCCGACGTGCCTCTCCGTCTCTCTCTCTTTTTCTCTTGTAGATCACGAACTGCTCAGGCAAGAGCTGAACACGCGGTTTCTGGTGCAGAACGCCGAGCGGCCTGGCGCCTCCCTGGGCCCGGGGGCTCTGCTGCGGGCCGAGTTCCACCAGCACACGCACCAGCACACGCACCAGCACACACACCAGCACACACACCAGCACCAACACACATTTGCCCCCTTCGCGGGGCTGCCCCCGACGCCGCTCATGCCGCCCACTGCACCCTCGCCGGTGCGTAGGCCGAGTGCTGGCTGCTGGCTGCTGGCAGGGCGGGGCGGGCTGGGTGGGGCAGGCAGCTGTACACTCAGATGCACACTCACTTCCATGCACATAGGCCCTGAGCAAGCAGCCCCGGTGTCTAATTCCTGTGTGTGTAGACCCCACTCGACTGCCATGTTGGGTGCTGGCCTGGGCTGGCTACACCATTGCTGGGTCTTAGGCCTGACACCAGGTCTGGAACCTAGACAGGACTGGGCTGCCAGGACCAGTCTACTGCAGCCCTCTTGTGTGTTCTTCAGTCCATTTTCACCTCGTTGTGTATAGCCATTTCCTCGATTTGTCAGCAGCCTGGGTCGTTCATAACTTTCCCACCCATCCTACCTCCACTGCCTGGGCTTCATGCCTACTCCCCTACCTAGATCCTCAGCTAGGTACACCCAAACCTCTCTGAACCAGGAGCCCGGGCCCCACAGGGCCTGAGGCCAGTGTTCTCAAGGAGCCAGGTGACACCAGACCACCTGCTTCAGAAAGCAGTACCATCCTGGTCACTGTCCAACCCAGCGTGGGTGGGTTCTGGGCCAATGGAGGGCATCCGGCCTGTACAGGAAGTCTTAATTTTGCTTTCTTCCCTTGCAGTTTGACAAATTCTCACCCAAGCTGGACAGCCCCTACTTCCGACATTCCAACGTGAGTCCCTGTGCTCAAGTCCGTCTTACTGTCTGCTTGGGGTGTGGGAAGCTCAGGATTTTCCTGTGCTTCCTTCAGGGTACCTAGGGAGGGAGAAGCAGTGTGCAAAGTCCCTCCACCATTGTGGGGCCCACAGCCCAGAACTCTGTCTCTCTTGCAGCTCTTCCCGCCCTTCCCTCCCATAGGCCCTGGGCTGCCCACCCTGATTGTGCACCGTGGCCCCTTTGGGTCCCTGCAGGGTGCTTTTCAGCCCAAGGTACAGCTGTTCCTGGCAGGGAGGTGACTGGCTGGTGGGTGGGTCTAGGGCATGGGGCAAGGCTACAAAATAGCTCCAGTTTTTAATTGCAATCTGGCCTCAATATGAGCGCCCCTTGCTGTTTGGGGGCCCGTTTGCAGTCAGAGAGCCTGCTCCTGAGCAGTGCAGGAGTTGTCCACCTGACATGGCATCCAAACCCATCTCCTTGCCCAGGAGGGAAGGCCCGGAAGAGCTGGGAGCCGAGTAGGAGAGGTCCCATGGCCTCTCCCTCCAAACAGGGAATGTGGGCCCCACCTCACTTAAGCCCAGCCATGCCCGTGCAGCTCCCAAGTCTCCAGATTAAGGCCTGGGCTTGCTGCCTTCCCCTAAGTACTGTCTCAACCATGGTATGTAAGTGCTTCTCACAGTGAGGCGGCTATCCACTCTCCCAGTGATGTCATTCGCCAGTCTTTCTGCCTTGGCAAATCTTTTGACTAAAGGGGAGGTGGTCCTATGATGAGACTAAGGTAACAGCGTGCAGGGTCACACCAGCAGGCCAAAGCATCCCAGAACTTGGGACTCCCAAGAGGCCTCCTGCTTCCTTCCTCCTCAGCACATGGGTCGCTCATGTTCTCTCTTTCTCTCTCTCTCTCCCCTTACACCTTCAGACTTCAAACTCAATCGAGATAACGGGCCGGGCCAGTGCAGTTCACACTTTGCTGCAGAAAGCCCCTGGGGTAGGTGTTGGCATTCACTCACAAAGTTGGCAGCATACACTCAGGTGCTCTCTCTCCCAGAGAGCCTGGACATGACCCATCTCTCCTGTTCACCACAGGTGTCTGATCCATACCGGACAGCAGTCAGGGTGAGTGAGTGCATGTGGGGAGGAGGAGTTGGAAGCATACCCGGGGCTGTGGCTGGGAAGGACTCCGGTTCTCTCCTGGGTGGCCTTGGGGTGGTCCTGATGGTAGGAATCTGGGGAAGATGAGGCCTGGGAAGAGGCGCTGGGCTCTCTGAGCACATCCCGGTCCTGCCACAGAAACCAGGGAAGTGGTGTGCGGTACACGTGCAGATCGCCTGGCAGATCTACCACCAGCAGCAGAAGATGAAGGTGAGGCCGGGCCAGGCGGGTGCACTACTGGGGCCTCCCTGGTGGGGCCGTTTGGGGGGACTCTAGGGTATATGATGAGAGTGGCCAGCTCCAGGCCCTCACTGAGGACTCATGATACTGCCTGGGAGGAATCTGGGTTGGGAAGACAGTGCAGAGACCAGGGATGAGGGCCACACGCATGTGCACAGGTATCTGATGGGCAGGTGATAGGTGGGGCTGGAAGTGGGAGAGAGTTTTTACAATCAGGACAGTCTGCAATACTGATATTACCCATGATACACCGTAACTTTGTGTGCAGCTGTAAAAACCGCTATCTCCTAAAAGACCTTAAAGGAGTCAACGGGAAGGGACTCGTGAGAGAGAGTGCTGTTTATATTCCAGTGCCCATGTTTAGGTGGAGGCGGATAGGGGCTTGCAGTGTGGATTTGCAGGACAGGAGTGGTAAAATTTAGGGTGTGCCCACAGTGATTCCTGAGTGATCCCGGTGATACCTTCGGGAATAAGGGCTTGGTTCTCACTCAGCTGAGATTAGTTTGTGACCCTGGTTGGATAGGCAACTGTAGACATATAAGTTCTGCACGCCTCCCACTTGCTTGCACCTGGCACAGAGCACTCTACAAGGTGATGTGCAAACGCCACCCTCACACACACTCAGTAACACACTTTAGGAAGTGGGAGGAATGTGAGCCCCCAAATCCAGGCCATAGCAAGGTGTGGCAGGGCAGATCACACAGCCAAGGGTAGAGGGATAAAGACCTTGTCCTTGTGGTCTCCAGAGCCATATTGCAGCTTCTGACCACAGAGCCCTCAAGGGATGGCCAGCACAAAGGACAAACACCTCAGGTCTATATCATTTTAATAGAGTCATGGTTTGGGGGTTTTGTATATTTGTGTTTGTGTGTGTCTGTGTGTGTATGCGTGTGTACATGCAATACATGAGTGCCATGGCATGCATGTGGAGGTCAGAGGACAACTTGTAGGAGATGAATCTCTCTTTCTACTATGTGGGTCCTAAGGTTTGAACTCAGGTCCTCAGGAGCCTTTACCTGCTAAGCCATCTTACTGTTATAGAGTCCTGTTTCTAAACATAAATTGCATCAATGGAAAGCAAGCATGTTTGGAACAACTCAGGCCTATGGATATGCTTTTCCAACTGAATTTTTTGAAATCTAATTGAAGATATTTCCTATGAAATGACATGTGTAAATATTCTGTGTATATATAAAGCACACCAATTGAAAGCTATGACATAAAAGTGGAGCGTGTCATTGTGACGCCATGCATTGCATACTGTATTAAGGTTTTGGTTTTTCTGTCTCAGATGAAGCCCACTAAAACTGCCTTTCCTTCCCCCATATCTGGGGCTGCCAGAACATGGGCAGTTCCTCAGGAGCGCCGCCAGTGAAGTCCCTGTATAGTCCAGGCCACCAGTTGAGGCTTTACGTGGAGCAGTGGCCAAGCCCCGGCACACAGCCCTGGAACACACTCTGTCCCCTTGCAGATGCAGCTGGACCCCCACAAGCTGGAGGTTGGCACAAAGCTGGACCTGTTTAGCCGGCCCCCCGCCCCAGGCATGTTCTCTGGGTTCCACTACCCACAGGATCTGGCCCGGCCCCTCTTCTCCAGCACAGGTGAGACCAAGGATAGCTGGGACCAGGGGTCTGAGTAGGGCCAAAAACATCTCCAGGGCCCTTGCATGGTGTTCTTTATATCTACTGCTGGTCCCAGGCCAATGTCCCAAAGCTAGCCCAGGTACCCTGGGACCCTGGTGCTAGTTCTTAACAGCCCTAACCAAAGTATATCACCTGGGCCTCTATCCCATATTACTGGATGCTTGGTGATCTGGTCCCTCCTCATCCTGGCATCCCTCATTCTCATTATGGGGGCCTATATCTCTAAGCTCAACATATCCAGGACAGTGTCTGGTTTGTCTCCACATGCAGGGAACTGTCCCCAACAACCTGTGTCCCAGCCTTCCCTAAGTGCATGGCAGAGTAGAGTTATATGCTTTCAGCCCCAGAAGCCCTTTACAACAAGACTGGATGCCCAGGGTTTATTGGGGACACCTGCTTGACATGTATCTAAATCCCAGGTCTCCAGGAAGGAAAAAGAGACTCAGCATGAGGCTACATGAATAAAGTCTAGACAGCATGTGCTGCACTTCAGTTAGGGGCATAAAAGGAACTTCTCAAACTCAAAATCTGAACCCAGATATTGGTAGAGACAAGTCGAGGGCCAGCATCAATTTCAGGCCACTCCGAGAATGTCATTTAAGCCTGTGTGTATGCACACATGTGCACATAGACACATGTGAATGCTGTCTGCCTTTCCCTCTGCAGGATCCCTTTTCTTTCACAATCAGGTCTCAGGTCTGTCACCTCAGAGCCCCAGCTACTCTAGTCCCTTTCCTTCCTTCTTTCTTTCTTTCTTTCTTTCTTTCTTTCTTTCTTTCTTTCTTCCTTCCTTCCTTCCTTTCTTCCTTCCTTCCTTCCTTCCTTCTTTATCTACCTATTTTTGTGGGTTTTGGAGACGGGATTTCTCTATGTATAACAGTTTTGGCATCTGCTTTGTTGACCAGGCTGGCCTTAAACTCAAAGAAGTCTGCCTGCCTCTGCCTCCCGAGTGCTGGGATGAAAGGCATGCACCACTACTGCCCAGTCTCCCCTAGTCCTGTTCATCCTCTTCCCACTTGGTATCCACTTATAGGTGGATGAGGGCAATTATGTTTTCACCTCTGTAAGCATGTTAGGCTAACAGAGCTGGCTCAAGTCCCAGAACATACCCTTAGTGCTCTGCAAGGTGTCATGTTCCAAAGCTGGCCTCTCCTCCGTCCTTCAGTCCCTACCTTGGATGATCACTACCTTCTCCCCACTTCTCAAAGTTCTCTGTTTCTTAAAACTGCCTAGTGTCCACCAGACATCTGATATGTTTTTACTGGGATTGAGTTGAGATGACCCAGGAAAGGAAACTCATTCCTTTCTGGTATCAACTTCTAACTCACCAACAAGGTGTTTTGTTTCTTTCTCATTACTCATTTAAAATTCCATTTAGCTAGAAAATAGAGGGTGTATCCAAGACTACGGACCCAAGACCACCTGCCTCCCTTGGGTTATTAGCCAGGATCATTTTTAGCTCCAGTTTTAAACCCTGGGTTAACCACCTTGGGGATCAGTCCCATTATGGCTCACTTACTTGGGCCTTCCCTCCCAATTTTTATCCACATCTTGGCTTCCTTCTCTGGGGGAACTCTACTATAGTCAGTACCAATGCCCCTGCCCACCTTGGGCCCCAGCTCTGGGAAGCAGACTGAATTCCAACCTCATGATCTAGCCATACACCTGTCAGTGATGCAGAGGTGAGCAAATGGGAGATAGGGGCTCCCAAAGTAAACTGGGGTGCTCCAAATGTGACCCACCACTAGAGGAAGAAGTCCCAGGTCTGGGGGCGCTTGTCAACCTGGCTACCTTCCACCTAGGTGCCACTCATCCAACCGCCAACCCGTTTGGACCCTCAGCTCATCATGGCAGCTTCCTGCCCACTGGTCACCTGACAGGTAAGTGACTGAGAAGCCTGGGTGGCATCTTCCACAGACCTCAAGGCTAAAGGGATGTGAATGGGTGGGAAGAAAGTCCCACAACCTCTCAGATCAATACAGGTGGCACCTGCCCAGACTAAGAAGCTCCTGGGCCACCCACCCTTTTGGTCTGGGGCAGGGTGGAAGCCTTGCAGATTCCTAACCCCGTGTTGCCCTCCCCTCACCCCCTGCAGACCCCTTCGGCAGATCCAGCACCTTTGGAGGCTTGGGGAGCCTGAGCAGCCACGCTTTCGGAGGTCTGGGCAGCCATGCATTGAGTGAGTGACTGGCCACATCCATTCCACTGTCCCTTACCCTTACCCTCCTGTCTGCCCTGCACACTTAACCTCCCTCTAGGCTAAGGCTCCTCACAGTCTGTTAGGGTTGGGAAATGCACAGTGTTGAGGGGGCATCTTGCCAACTCACACACCTGGCCCTCTGTCCTTATCTCCCAATTCAGCACCAGGGAGCAGCATCTTTGCCCCCAAGGAGGGCACAGCTTTGCTTGGTCTGCCCAGCCCCCATGACACCTGGAACCGGCTGCACCGGGCACCACCTTCCTTCCCTACTCCGCCCCCATGGCCCAAGCCAGTGGATACTGAGCGCTTCTCAGCCCTGACCAACCACGACCGAGAGCCTGACAAGGGCCAGGAAGAACATGATCGGTGAGTTCATCTGGCCCTGAGACCTCTCTACCTGGTTTGGTTTCTCACCTGTCTAGTCTGTTAGACTGGGATTGATCAAAGAAATGACATGAAAATAAAAGGAGACTGACCTCTATAGAAGCAAACTGTCCTTAACTCTCCATGATAGTGAAGACTGTACACAGGTACTGGGGGGCTTAGAAGTTTTATAGAGCAGAAAAGGGAACTTGGGGGTGGGAGATTCATTCTGCAGAACTATTCCCTTTCAGTCTTAAAGTTGTAAATAACAACAAAGAGCCTAGGCGAGTCCTATGCAGGCTTCCTGGTTGTCGGTTCAGTCTCTGAATCCCTAAGAGCCCAGGTTAGTTGATTCTGTGGGTTTTCTTATAGTGTCCTTCACCCCTCTGGCTCCTACAAACCTCCTCCTCCCTCTTCCACAGAATTCTCCAAGTTCTGTCCAGTAGTCCAGTATTTGGTTGTGGGTCTCTCTATGTGTTTCCATCAGTTACTGGGTGAAGACTCTTTGATGACCATTGGGCTAGGCAATCTATAAGCATAGTAGAATATCATTAGGAATTATATCATTGACTTTTTTTTTTTTTTAAAGATGGCTTTCAAGCCCAAGATGGAAGCAGGCTGGTTTATCATAAAAAGGGGTGCAGTGATCCTCAGAGGACTTAGTAGTACCACAGAGTCTTACAGATGCTGCTTTCTCTGTTGATGCCATGTGCTTACATTAACCAAGATTGTAGCAAGGTCACACAGCATTCGCCTTCTTTATGATATCATTAGATGGTGGCCAACTCACATGGTTACTTCCATCTTAATGAGGTCACCAGCTAAGATGGCAGCAAACCACATGATTCCTTTCTGTTCTAGGTGAGCTCAGCTCCATGGTAAAGTGAGCCCATCCTCCACCAGAGCACAAGTCCCTGTGGGACCCACCATCTCCCAGTTCAAAAGTGGATTACACCCTTTTCTTTAAGAAGACACCTCAGTTAATATGGGTGGATACAGGAGGAGGTGGTACCCATGAGCTAAGAGCAGGCCCAAAGGCAAAATAAACAGGAAAGAATGTCATAGTCTCATTTTGAGGAAACAGGGTCCATAGGTAGCTTATAGAGAAATCACAGCATGATTTCTCTCTCAGAGTTAGTTGCGGAATAGACAAGAGAAGGAAAAAAAGATAAAGGTGCTTGTTTAAAATAAAAAAAAGTGTTTGTCTCCAGGTGGAGAGTAACTTGTGAATCTCCCTAAGGTTGTTACCAGCCCAGTTTCAGGATGGGGACAGGAACCAGCCTTTCCTATTTGGCACCAAAGCAGATGTAATTCTATTGTGGGCCAGATGCTGGTGGCGCACACCTTTAGTCCCAGCATTCAGGAGGCAGAAGCAGGTGGATCTCTCTGAGTTTGAGGCCAGCCTGGTCTACAGAGTGAGTTCCAGAACAGCCAGGCTATACAGAGAAACCCTGTCTCAAAGGAAAAAAAGTCTGAGCTCGTAACCCTGATATACAGAAATGGAGAAATAAAGGGAAGGGCACGAGTGGGAGTAGACGAGAGGCTTGCAGAACTGTTGCCTTTCTGTCTATGAAGTTTCCCGAGTCAGTGAGACTTTAAAAGCCAAAAGTATTACCCAGTTTGTGTTGGGTCCAGACCTCAGTCAACAGACTTAATATTGTCTTCAGGTTTAAAGGCAAGCCAAAAGTGCATAGAATGGAAATCTTGTACCCTATTTTAGGCCAGGTAAGTGTGGAGCTTGTTTCTGGTAATAAGTGGTCACCTACAACAGGAGAGTGACTGGAAACAACTGACCAGGGGCTGCAACAGGCACCCCCAATTACAGTAACCTAGTGCTGGGACTAAAGCCCACATCCAGTGACAGGTGGACTCCTGAAAGCCTGTCCTCACAGGGGTTTGAGGTCAGGTCAAAGGCATTAACGGGGGCCCTGCTTGGGTGAGGGCTACCCCACAGACCTCTTTCACAATAGCAGAATTGTTTGGAAAAAGAGCTTACAAGGAAGTAAGACTGTAATGCAGATGTGTGGGCTAGAGCATCCAGAACTTAGGGTGTCCTCACTGTCAGCACTGAGGACATAATTGAAGGTAGGGTAGAAGATCTGACCCATGCAGTTCCCGCAGCAGGCGCAACCCTCCTTAGGATGCTCTCTGAGATCCCTGGTCAGGCTCTGGGGACTGTGTCCTGCCCCTGGGCCAAAGGAGCAGGGTCCTTTGCCTGTTGAGAGCAGAGTTTGGCCAGTGTGACATACTCATCTAGGTGAGTCCTAGGCCTGCCCAGGCTTTCCCATACTATGAGCAAATGAGGGAGAAGGGCCTGCTGCAGGCACAGCTGGGGACCCTTCCAGAAAAGTGTGTGTAGAGGAGTGTTTTCAGGGTCCTCTCCTGGTCCTATAGTGGCAGTATACCTACCATGGGATCCTCAAGAGCCTTGGGGCAAGTGGCCCAACCTAACTGTGAACTCTATAGCTGGTCTTGAGCCTTTCAGGCCTCCAGGCTAAGCCTCTCAACTGGAATAGCAGGCCTGCATTATTAGGCTGGTGCTGAGGGTATTTAAAACAGATAGCTGTCTGTGGTTAAATAACCAGAAAGTAACTGCACACCCCTGAGCCTGAGAATGTTTAAGTTTTGAGCAGGGAATTCCAAGGTTGGGGCAGTCATGTTGCCTTGCCTCCCTAGCCCCAACCCCAAATGGGAGAACTCAAGGAATTTGCCATCCTGCAGCCACCCAAGGTAGTATAGAGAACTGTAGCCAAAAATCAGGGAAGGAATGTGTCAGCTGGGGGTACTTCTAACAGCCCTGGAGTCGCGGGATACACAGGCTCCACACAGCAGGAATCTTGAAGTCACATGAACTTCACAGCTTCCTAGGAGCTATAGCTGCTCTAGGTGATGGCTCTATCTTATTTTCCCCAGGGACCTCCTGGAGAAGACTCGCCTGCTGAGCCACGGCTCGCCTGCAGCACCAGTGGGCCACCCCATCAGCAGCCTCTTGCAGCGGGGCCCAGGTGAGCTGGGTCGCCCTGGGATCCTCACAGAGCGAGAGGCTGAACCTCGGATCAAGGAGAGCCACTCACCTGGCAAAGAGGATGGCGCCAAACTGGCTGTCCGACCTCCATCGCCCTACTGCAAGGCAGCCCTGGGTGACTGCCTGCGCCTGGCAGGCCTGTTGGGTCGGGAGTCCGGGAAGCAGACACCTGAGAGGCCCCAGGGCGACGTGAAGGTAAAGGAGGAGCGCAGGGAAGAGGAGACACCGG